ATAGAAAACTACAGGTACATGCTTTAAATACTCTGAAGCAGGAAGCATGGTGGCCAGGCAGAGATGAGCAGACAGCTGTCTGGGAGCCCATGGCAGGGTTGAGAGCAGAGGCTGGCAAACCATGGCCCTAGGACCATGTTGGTCGCAGCACCAGTGTTTGACAGCCCATAAGCTAATACTAATGGCTTTTGTATTTTTTAATGATTTCCTACAAGTCAAAAGAATATTTTTTGGTATGCCCCCAAATCTGTGAAATTCCGATATCAGAGTTATAGTTTTTTTGGAACACAGCCACCTGGGGTGTGTGTGTGTGTGTGTGTGTGTGTGTGTGTGCGCGCGCGCGCGCGCCTGGACTTGCTTTTGTGCTCCTTCGCAGTTAGTGAACATGTAGTTGCAAGAGTGACTGCACGGTCTGCCAGATCTTAAACCCTCCTCTCAGGTCCTGTGCAGAAGTGTGCCACCTGCTGTTCCTGGGGTTTGGGCCTTGAAGGACCTGAGCATGCCGAGCAGGGAAAGGGATTCCAGGAAGGACCAGTGTAAGGAAGGGGAGGGATGCGGGCAAGTGTGAGCTCGTGTGGGGATTAGAGAGGCCAGGTGTTCAGTGACGTGTGGCCATACTTGATTAAGCAGAATGTGAAGTATAAAGAATGTAAAGGCAGAGATGGAAAGGGAACACGAATATTATTTAGTTGAGAAAGGGAATGGAGAGAAGTCAATAATGGAGAAATATAAAATGTGGAATCAAAGAATGAAGCCTGGGGAGTGGGACGAAGAGTGGAGGTGGGCAAAAGAGTTGGGGCAATAATGGGAATACATTTGAAGTCAAGCGAAAACTTGGTGTCTCTTCACTCTCCGCCCCCCTCCACCCACCCAAAGCTCCTGGGGGCAAGCACCATGGGTGACAATGCATATGGCAACCCCAACCCCCACGGCTGTTAGCCTGTTTAGGGCATGCGTGTGCACCACCAAGACAACTCGGCTTAAACCAACATCGTTTGGGAAGAAAACCAACATTGACTGAGCTCCTACTGTGTGCTAGGCTCCACAGAGCCATTTGTATACATTTCCCCATTTAACCTTTGCGGTAAACCTGGAGATCCTCCTCCTACGGAAGTGTCATTGGATGCCTTTGGTCATTACTTCCCCTCTGGTCCTCAGTTCGCAGTGGGGAGGACAGTGACCTGTAGGGTTACTGTGAACAGTGAGTGAGAAAGCGCGGTCACGCAGGTAGGGCTTGACCACGGGCGTGGTTATGATTATCGCTGCTAAGGCCCTCAGCTAGTCGGTTGGTTGTGGCAGGGCTCAGACAGGCAAACATGCCTCCTGGAACACGTGATGGCTGCGGGGTGACGATGGCAGGCGTCTTAGTGACGTGACCCGTGGCCCCTAGACGGAGACCTTGGCATCCCTAAGCATCCGCGAGCCCAGCTTCCGTCCCTACAAGGCCTCGGCCTCCAGGGCCTT